AGAGAGAGAGAGAGAGAGAGAGAGAGAGAGAGAGAGAGAGAGAGCTGAACCAGGAGCAGAGGCAAGGCTCTGTGAAGACCTGTGTGTGGTCAGCTGCTCAGCAGGTCTTCTCCTTCAGGACTTGCTGCTAGGTAGCCCATGGCCAGGCTTCAGAAGTACCAAGAACAGGAGCTCAGCTGGTGAGACTTGTGCTCCTGGGCCCACATGAGCCTCCAGTGTGGCCACTGCATCAAGCTATCACGCCAGTCTGGATGGGTACATTGTGGTGGGTTGTCTGTACTTGACATCCAAACTGTGATGCTCACAGTCACATGCCATCCACATGGCTCTGGGCCAGGGCTCTCTGTCTCTGTCAGCAGGGCCTGGACCCACCAGGACACTGGTCACTGCCTCTGGACTCATGCTCCTTTATCTACAGAAAGCTTTCCCTGGAAGAGTCTTCCAGGGTAGGTGCCACACCATAACAGGTGACCTGCCCTGTTATGCATTGCCTTGGTCCAATCAGGGCCAGCCAAGGCCTTGTGCCTGGGTTCCACCAAGCTCACATCTCTGCTGGCCTCAAGGGTCCCTATTTCAGTGCTGAGTCAGGACTGTGGCCCTTGAGAGGGTGTACTTTAAGCCTCTGTGGCCCTAGGCAAGTGGCTGTGGGTAGGGTGTCTGGGGGTTAATGAGGTCATGCATGCAAGCAGGGAGTCTGGCCAATAGGGGGCACGCATCACTGCCAGCCACTGTCCTTACCAAACCTCTGGGCTAACTCAGCCTCTGTTCCTTCTGGCCTCCATTTGTGGAGGGGAGAAAGACTTCTAACCTCAGAGAAATTGGGTAATTTACCTCAAAGTCACACACCTGGGCCTTCAGTGCTGGGGTCGGAAGTAACACAGCTGGGAGCTCTTAAGGTCAATCTCCTCAGACTTCCTATGAGGAAGTAGGGAGCTGGCCTGAAGGGCATGGGAACACCGACTGCCTTCCATGTGTGTTGGACACTCCGTGACACCAACACCATAAGCTGCAATTCCCCAGAACAGCTGTGGGGCAGTGGAGCTGAGCTGGGTCCACCCAGCTGCTGGAGTTCGGAGAGACCACCAGGGAAGCATCCTCTGCTCCAGGTGGTCTCCAAGTGGTTCTCTGAGGGTGGACGGCAGCAGCATCTCTGGAAGTTTGGACAGATGTAGGTGAAAGGTGGGAAGGGGAGGCATGGCAGGTGAGTGACCATGTCATCGTGTCTTGCATTCTGTGTAGGGTCTCAACCTTCTGTTGAGTAATGACCAACACTAGGACAGTTGGGACTGGGGCTGGCTAGGACTTTATGAGGACTTTGCAAACTCTTGTTGACTCTGTCCCTCAATCCTGTGTCAAGATAGACAATGAGGCTCTAACCAGTAAGCGAGAGCCAGGGCATCTCTCTAAACTCCCTCCAACTCCATCTCCCAGACAGACCTCTAGGGGTTCTATGCCACATGTCTGGTTGAACGAACCTACCTCCTCAGGGGTGCTTGAGGAAACAAGGGCTGGGGGAGGTGCTGGTTCTGGTAGGCAGGGGGTAGGGGGTGGAGACACTGTGCTCTGTCCAGTACCTCAGGCCACAGGAAGGCTTGAAGGGCAAGTTTGATGGGGTCCACAGGGGCAGATGGATCTTGCTGGCCAACTCCAGGACACATTCCACTTTGACCACTAATTAGGTGCCTGATCCCGGCACAGCCTTTGTACAAGTCAGTGTGAGATGGAGGAGAACGTGGGGGCTTGTAAGAAGAGCAGGTCGGAGAGGGCTTCTGGGAAAGCATGTGTTGGAATACGCCCCTCCCCCATAGCAGGATCCTCGGTTCCCTGAGGGGCTGGACCTGGGGGGCTGGGGGCATCTCTGTGCCAACAGCCCTGAGGTTGGAGGAGAGGAATCCCTGCCCCCACTTCCCAAAGTTTCCAGAGGATGACTTGGGGTTAGGGGGAGGGGCGGGTCCCCACATGACCAGCAGCTGCTGTCAGTGTGAGGTGCCTGGAGCAGTGCCTGGGGTCCGGCGGCCCCTCCCTCTACGCCCACACAGACTGCATTTCTGTCCTCTTTGAGGCATCTACTGATGTGTGCTGCTGGCGACAGAGGATAGTCGCTGCTTCCCTCTCCCTCGGGCACTGTTCCCTGTCTGCTGTCTGATGTCTGACTGTTCGCGGGTCCCAGCCTGATGCTGGGTGGCTGTTTCCCTGACTGTGGGTGTCTGTTTGTCTGGATGTGGGCGTGTCTGTCAGTCTGCAGAGAGCCTCTCCCGCTGACTCTGTCCTTGACCTCCAGTATCTGTGTCAAAGGAGGTGGGCTTGCTCCCGCTGCGGGTTCTCCTCCCCCCCCCAAGGGCGCTAACACAACTGCCACCACCCTGGCTGCACCTGGAGCCCAGTGACCTCGCATGTCCACTGCAGCAGTGACCACCAACTGAGCTGTCTCGGTGGGACTGGTGACCCACTCCACGCTGCTTTTTGGGTCACCCCTCCACCCAGGGCTGCTGAGTTCTGGGTGAGTGTGCTCTGCTCTGGGCTGGGTCCGCTCAGGCTCATTTTTTTCCCTTATGTAACTCCACATCTGTGTGAGCCTTGCAGGTCACCCTGGACCCTGCTCTGAGCTCTGTCTGACCACATGGAGACTGAGGCCAATGGTACTGTGCACAAGAGGGTGGAGAGCCGTCAAGGCCAGGACACCACTTTCAGAGACCCCTCCCCAATCCCTCTCCGGACATTTCTTACCCCAGAAACCTACTTGCTCAAAGCAGAAAGCGAGAGGGGGTCCTGAGGCACAAGTTCCCTAGAGCTGAGACGCGGACGTTTCCCCCAGCCCCCCGCCAGCCCCATCCCAGGTCCTCACACGTGCAGGGTCTACGGATAAGGGTCGGGCAGGGGTCACGGGGGCCGAGGGCACGAGGACAGACCGGCAGCTCAGGGACCAGCTCCCGGGTGTGACCTCAGACATGCCCTCAACCCTGTGCCCTGGCAGTGTGCCTTGGGTCGGGCTCTGGGTCAGCCACGGTGCGTGCACACCGGGCCAGGGGCTCCAGTAGCCTTGCGGGCACGCGGCGCTGTCCGTGGTGCTGCCCGCGTCGGGCGGGGCGGGGGCGGGGCGGAGGC